CGACGATGAACCGCTTCTTCCACAGCCGTGTCAGTTCCTCCCATGTGATTTTGTCCTTCAAGTCTGGTACGTCGACGCTGTGGGAGGTTGCCAGGTGGCTCAACCAGGTCTGGCATCCGCCCTTTGAGTTCAGGAACAGGGCGCCGATGTACGCATGCTTGGCTACTGGCAGAATCCTGAGTTGCGTTGTGAATGCTTCCCACCAGAGAACCGGATCCTGCTGTGTGTAGTCGTCGAACCTCTCTAGGTTGAAAGTTGGCATCTTGTACATCTTCGGATTGTCGTCCGCGTTCGTCGACTGCTGCTGCTGGACCTCGGTCTTCAATGTATGCAGCTGACTGCTGATGGTGGTGGTCAGCGCAGCGAAAGTGCTGATGTCTCCGAGCATTGCATCTACGTGGTCAACGCGGTCCTCCAGTTGGCGGCTAGAGGGTGCACTGCTGGAAGCCCCAGCAGCTGGTCCTGGTACAGCCTGTTCCAGGTCCAGCAATCGGGCATTGAGTGCCCAAGTTGCATCCTCGTGGCTCTGCACTATGCGGCGGAGCTTTGCCAACTCCTGATGCTGTTGCGTCAGGTTCTGGTACTGTCTCTCCAACTCTGACCGTTGGTAGTTGCAAGCGTACAACAACCTTGTCACGAGTTTGGAGAGGAACTCCTTGTGCTTCTCTTCCGGTGTTGCCTCGTCGCCGTTCGGTTCAAAGTGCTAGAACTTGAGTCTGTCGATGCTGTTGGCTTCATGTCGCTGCAGCAGATCCTGGGCTTCCTTGCGGCGAGCCTGGGCATCTGCGTCTGCGTCGGCCTGTAGCCGCAGCTGCTCTGCTGCTGCTGCCTCTTCAGCCTGTACGCGGGCAGCCTCGGCTGCCAGCTGGCGTTGTTCCTCAGCCTCAATCTGAGCGTGGAACCGCTGCTTGTAGGCGGCAAGGGACTCGTTGGGCAGTTGCCCTGGCAGGCCCGTCGTGTTGCTGATGTGGCACTGCTGCTTACGTGGCACTGCGGATGTGGCACTGCTGACATGGCACTGTGTCTGATGTCACTGCTGACATGGCACTGAGTCTGATGTGGCACTGTGACCTGGCACTGCTGATCTGGCACTGTGACGTGGCACTGCTGACGTGGCACTGTGACCTGGCAGGCACTGCTGACGTGGCACTGCTGACCTGGCACTGTGACGTGGCGCTGCTGACGTGGCACTGTACCGAACCGGGATGCATGCAAGGGGTGGGTGGGAGGGAAAACATAGGTAGGTAACCAACCCAACAATACTTTCCTCCGGCCCTAATCAACAGATAAAA